AACAGTCTCTTTTTAACTGTTGATTTCCCTGAACGTATAATTCAACTGAAAAACCAATACAAAAATAAATAAAATAAATGATACATTTAAATAAATATTTTGGAGCACACTTCCACAAGCTACTAAACATATATAAATATGATAAATACAAATAAATGAGACTAAAATTAAATTAGATCAAATATGTTGCAGTGCACTGTCACAACCTAGCAAAGCAAAATAATTGTTTTTTTCGATTATGTTGTTTTCGTAATTGTGGCAGGCCAAAATCGTAATTGCGATTAAAATACGATTAATTGCACAGCCCTAGTTAGCTGGTACTGTTAGCCAATTGTAACGAGGGAGAAAGTATATGTTAGGACACTCCTTCCAATGATAGAGCAAACCTGACTCTCATCACCTTTTAAATAACTTTGTGGAGCTGTTCTGTAATTTAATACCCAAAAGAATATGTTGACACTTTTGAAAAGTCACAAAGTATACACTGAAAGGAAACAGTATTTTGTCTCTTGTGCATTTGCTCCACTTTAACAGAGGAAAGAAAAACTGACTTCTGACACAGATGCTATTTGAGGATCATGTCACCAAGAGAGGAAATATTTTTTCAGTGGAGTGAATTTCATAACATCCTTTTTAAAAAGTAAAAAACAATTGTGTTTTCTGACCTTATAGTTGATCTGTATGACCTGAATGAAGATGGAGAGCGGCATGCAGAGGAGGATGTCTCCGACCATCGCCCAGCCGCTGACAAACCCCTTGTGCACACGCACAGGAGGAATGAATTTCTTCCAGGAGTCCTCATCAGAATACACTACTAGAGACAGGGAGACGATAACATAAGCAATTTTGTTAGAATATCAAAAACAACTACAATATGCATACTTTATTCACTATATTTAAAAAAAAAAAACAGTATCCCACTGTGGTTCTGACACAATCAAGCGTCATTGACTAAGTTCAGATGCACGCTAGTGTTCCACTATTATTCTTAATTTGATCAGGCTCATATCAAAGCATATTATGTTTGGGTTTTCAGAATTAGGCTTATTTTAAAACGTAGAATTTTCTAAAAAAAGACAGGTGGGATTTTCAGATATGATTCAGGTTTTAGGGAGCCTTCTTTGGACTTATAAACAGCTCATTCTGAATATGCATTACATTTTTACAGCAGTTTACGACACTTGGCCTCCTTTATAACCAGCTCTGTGCAATTTTAAACAACCAACTAAACAACTATTTCAAAGGCTGGGCGTTGCTACATTGTACTGCCATGTGGTAAATGCTTATATGCTGCTCATGCTCTTTCTGCATATCATGTATTTATTTAGCTATGTATATAAATGTCATGTTCTTAAAGGTGGGGTAGGTAAGTTTTAGAAACCGGCTTGAGATACACTTTTTGTTATATTCCATGGAATGCTCTTAACATCCCGATAGCAATGAATATGCTATAATAATAAAAGTGCTTTGACAAAAAATCCATAAAAAAAATTTCATCTGTGGAAGCCGTAGTACTGTAAAAAGCACGACCAATCATTTTAGCCGGAACAAATTTATCTCGTGCCCTCATTGGTCATGTGCGCGTTCGTGTGTGTTGGAGGAGGGGCTCTGTAAGGAAGTGGCAGATTTTCTCCGGTTGTGTATTTTCAAATTCTAGCGATCTCGAGCCGGTTTCTCAAACTTACCTACCCTACCTTTAAATGTTGTATGTGAGGGACTACGGATGGAAACTAGCTCAAAGCTAAAATCCGGCATGTTTACGTTTTTAAAGCATTATTTGTTTTAAATGTTCATCAATGTGCACTGTCCCTCTTCAAATAAACGATTAAATGAAATGAAATAAATGAGATGCATGTCAGAAGTAAAAGCCCACATTTCAAAGCGTTGGGGAACAGACAATCTTTTTTAACATCATCAAAGACTAGGAAATAAACAGTAAGACATTTGGAAATAACAACGTTTTTAAAAGTGGTAGCAGGATGAGAGCTGTGTTTGCAAAGTCCAATAAGTCTGACACCGGTTGAACAAAAATCATACTCAAATGTTAATTTTTTATAGCAATGTAAACAAATAGGAATATTGTCTCTATCAGAAGTGCAAACCTGTTATTTTTAAGTGTGCATGTTAACACATTTGTTAAAATAAAAAATGGACAGCTCCTTCATAATAAGCACTAATTCCCACACTCGATGCTGGCTCACCTTTCAAGTCGGACTGAGAGTCACTAGGTATCGATTTATCCTTCTGCTCCCCCTCTTCATCACCCGAAGATATCACATCTAAGTTGGGCGAGTCAGTGTTTACAGACGGCTGTGTTTGTTTGTTCGGGGAGTCTTTCCGTTGTTTGGGATCGGGATCAGAGATGTTCTGTTGTGCCGACGTGTCGCTGGTCGATGGGGAGTCAGAGGAGCTCTGTTTGCTCGGGTGCCCGTATATCAGGTACCAGAGGAAGTTATGAACAACACGCATACGATGCATCTTAGGCTGGAATCCAAGAGTCTTCCCCAATCCCTTAACTATGAAATGAAAGAGAAAGAAAAGAGAAAATGGACTTCGAGGACAAATACATCTGATCATAAGGATGTCAATAGGGGTGAGTGCACAGTTGAACAAATAACTTTAATAGGGCAAAGTTGAATCAATTCAAAATCAATGTTTCTCTTTCAAACAGGGCTCTGAATTTGAATGTATGACTCCCTTTTGTGTTTGTTTAATATCGAGTAAACCAGAACCTGTTGTGGGCTTGAACTCGTCGTTTTTATTTTTCTTCTTGTCTCTCTTATTGGCTCTGGAAGGGCTGCCGCTCGTATCTTCAGGGGCGGCGCCTTCTTCCCTGGCTTTCTCTTCAGCGTGCTGATGACTGAGGGACGGACAGAAAGACAAAAGATGGAGGAAGATAGGCTCGATCAAGACAGAAGATACGAGACATTTTCCTGCTCTTTACCACACAGTAATAGTAGCAGCAGGACACAATTAGCGCTCGTGATAATAAGGAATCAATGTTTGTTTATTTAAGGCAGGGGTGGGGAACCTTTTTCCTCTCAAGGACCATTTCAAATTGAACAACATCCTCCGAGGGCCGTACAAATGATTGACCTCTGCTTAAAAATACTAAAATCACAGCCCATTCATTTGGCCTTTCTTTCATGCTGTGCAAAAAAAAAGCAACCTCTTAATCCAGACATCTGACAAATGACTCGCACATGCACGGTGTGGCATGACCACCAAAACAGACAGATATGGACACAAGATGTGTGCAAATATATTTAGTTTCCTATCCATGTGAACATGATTTAAGTTGGGATGGACCTAACCTCCTCTAGGGGGGGTCCGGGGGACATGCTCGCCCCCGAAGATCTTTTTTTAAATGTTGAAGTTAAAAGCATCAATCTGGTGCACTTTGAGAGCAACATTAGAGATCCATGGATACATCTCTCAACACCCATATGAAACAGAACTGTAAGCAGATTTTCTTTATCTTTATGGATATTTCACAAATCACTCTCCTTTCAAACTGTATTCTTGTTTATTAATAACAACTTTTTTTTACTGTCATATAGTATTTTATACCCGTTTACTTTATGCTCTTATTTTTGTATAACTATAATGATCATATAAAGATGTGCCTCTACCTCACTGAGCTGAGGTTATCAGCCTCTCAGTCTGAAAGGAGAGCTCTCTTCCACCTGGTTGTAGAAACAGCTCCTTATATACATTAGCATAGCTGGCTAACCAGATGCTAACAACAACATTCCCGGTACCTCTCTCTCGCTCAAACACACACACACACACACACACACACACACACACACACACACACACACACACACACACACACACACACACACACACACACACACACACACACACACCACACACACACACACACACACACACACACACACACACACACACACACACACACACACACACACACACACACACACACACACACACACACACACACACCACACACACACACACACACACACACACACCACACACACACACACACCACACACACACACACACACACACACACACACACACACACACACACACACACACACACACACACACACACACACACACACACACACACACACACACACCACACAACACACACACACACACACACACACACATCACACACACACACAACACACACACACACACACACACACACACACACACACACACACACACACACACACACACACACACACACACACACACACACACACACACACACACACACACACACACACACACACACACACACACACACACACCTTCTACAATAGCAAATATTAGACTGAGAAACTGACAAAATTAAGCATATTCAAAAGAATAGGACAGTGCGAGAGCAGTAGAAAATGCAAACATACTCACTATTACTCACTGCAGTATTTTAGAGTATTTATTTTGTGCTTACCGTACAGTGGAGTAAGAACTGGAGATTCTGAAGCGGATCTGTTCGATGAGTCGTGTCACTATTTCATCGGTGGGCTGAACGGACGGATGAACGACCATCTCCACCTGCGAGGAGAAGAAAGTCAACAACAAAAAAAGTGAGTATCTTTTATTTTGTGTATGTAAAATGTGCTTCCTGCTGCTTTTGTTTTACAACAATTCACCAAAGGACAGCATTTTTAAACAAGATAGCTGGCCTCACAAATGTACAGTAATGTTTATGAATGTAAATGCTCCAGAGACTTGGAAATATAACCCTAACCATGTGTGATGGGTGCACTTACGTTCTTGGTGACCCCGTCCTGTATGATGGTGGTCTTGTAAACCTTTAGTAAGCCTTCTCTGGACAGGCTGTCCACGGTGCGTACGATAGTCTTCTTGCAGCACCTCGTGTTGATTCCATCCTTCTTTTCGTCGTCAGTAATGATCTTCTGCAGCCTGGAGACAGACAGCATGTTGGTGTTTTTGCTTTCTTTTCTTACTGTGCAATAAAATACTTGTGAATAAGTGATGCACAGTGAAGACAGACTTACGGGAAGAGACCCTCGATGATTTTGAAGTTGCGCACCGCCTCCACGATCAGGTTCTTCCTCCTCAGCAGGCGGAACGTCTCGTGAGATCTCGCCAAAGCATATTTGTTTTTCACACGAACCCTGGCCTGGAGGAGGTGGATTGAACCGTTACCTTTAAAGGTCCCCTATTATACTGTTTTTCATTCATATATTACAGGTTTCGGATATATACAAAACATGTCTCTGAAGTGTTTGGCTGAAACACCAAACAGATCATTGCAGCATCCCATAATCCCCTCTGTTTCAGCCCTGTTTCAAAAGTGCTGATTCTCTGTCTGTTACTTTAGATGAAAATAAGGAGCCCCTCCCCACGCCCCTCTGAGAGATATTTGGTTAAAAAGAACACAATGGTGCTCTAGGAGGAGATTCAGGTGATAAGGTGGGGTGGGGGGTTACCTTGGTTGGTGATTGGCTAATAGTTACACAAGCCAAAAAATCGTTATGACATCACAAAGTGGCCAAAATCTGATCAGCTCATTTTCAGACAGGTTTTTATATAAATGGATCAGGACAAAAAGAGAGAGAATCTTTGTTCCTGAAACTTTCAGAATCTCTTTACACAGAGGGGACACATGTTGATGTAGAAAAGACATGAACAAGTGGATTTTGCATAATAGGTGACCTTTAACACTTATCTCGAACAGCTGGGACAAAACGGAGAAACACTGAAAGCAGACTGACCGGTCTCTTGCAGAAATCTGTAACAACAACAACGTCGTTGTCTCCTGAGTTGTTGGCTGCTTTCGACGCCTCACTCTCAGGAAAAGTGCTGAAAGGATTTGAGTTGGGATCTTCCTCTTTGACTCCAGCTGGTTCTGATAGAAGAGACAGAAGGAAAACACACATATGTATCAGGCATGAGAAAAGGATTTGAATCTGCAAAAATCCCAATATCAACCACTACAAAAGTTTGTCTTATTTCTGTTAACATTTCTCTACTTTGCTATAAAGAAGTCTTTGCTTTCTGATATAATAAGTTCAAATGGTAGAGATGCTATGGATTCATATTAGTAATTGTGACAAATAAACATTGCCATCTTTACATTAATACATTAATATATATATATATATATATATATATACCTGTATCTCATGTATTTAAGTCAATCTCAAGCAGGTCAAAAACATGTCCTATGAATTGTTTACATGTCTTGAGACTAGACATTGTCTTGTAGAATATATATTTTCAAGTATAAACAATCTCATATTTTGCCACAGATTCAATTATAATCATATAAATAGCCATGAAGACATTGATAAAGGTTATTAATATACATCAATACATCATGGGCTGGTTCTGCTATAGGGGGTAAATAAAATGTTAACTTAAAAGTGTTGAAGTTATTCTAGTTACCTGCTGTGGGAGTGGACACAGAGTCAGGTGCTGCACTGCTGTTTGATTCACTGCAAGCTGCGGTTTCACCTGAGTAGTGACAGAAAATAATAAAGAACTTGGACCATATGCAGAGCTGTAACCATCAAAAAGTGTGTGGAAACGTCAAGAGAATTCAGACTTCTTAAATGCAAATGAATTAGTTGAGTTAAACCATACACCCCAGCACGTGCACTCCGCAAAAAACACGTAGGTTTGCTATCCTGGCTCCAAAATGGTGGAATGAGCTCCCCATTGACATCAGGACAGCAGAAAGCTCACACATCTTCCGGCGCAGACTGAAAACTCATCTCTTTCAACTCCACTTCGAGCAATAAAATTAAAATCTCAAGTTTAAGCTTCTCATTTTGAACTCCAGTTAGTGTTGAGGCAGCCATTATCGCTGTTATTCACCTGTAAAAGGCACTGGTTTCTGACACTTTGTGGCTGTAAAGGAATTTCTGGAGTATATTTTCTTTCAAAAGATCATTTTCTGTAGTCAACTGTTGTAAAGTTTAGCAAAAACACACAAAAAAGTTCTCACCTTCAGCTGCTTGTATGAAAGGGCTCTCAGGATGCTCAGCTTTCACCTTGCTTTTCTCTCCTCCTGCTTCCCCTCCCTCTCCATCCAAGGCTCTAACTTCTGTGTTCACTTCTCCATCCTCCTCTACAGCCTCCTTTCCTCCGCCATCTGCTTTCCTAAACTTCTTTGCTGCCGGGCTTTTGGAGGTTGATTTTTTCCGTTTGGCAGTTGGTGGTGATTTAGGGGATGGCGCATCAACATCTAATGCCTGTGGTGCAGAGGAGTAGAGGAGCTTCGTCCGCTCCTGCTCCTTAGCAAACCGTTGGAGTCGATTACTCACACCAACAAACCTGTCGACAGAAAACAGCAGATCATGAGTAGTTGATGTTATCATACTGGAAAAATACAAATAAAAATCTATACTCATTTACAGATTACGGTTTTTCGATCTCTCTGTCTATACACCACCCCGCTCCTCCGCTCCCTTCACTGGCTTCCAGTAACTGCTAGAATCCACTTCAAGACACTGGTACTAGCGTGCCATGCTGTGAATGGATCTGGCCCTTCCTACATCCAGGACATGGTTAAACCATACACCCCAGCACGTGCACTCTGCTCTGCATCAGCCAAACGGCTCGCTGCACCCTCACTGCGAGGGGGACCCAAGTTCCCATCAGCAAAAACACGTTGGTTTGCTATCCTGGCTCCAAAATGGTGGAATGAGCTCCCCATTGACATCAGGACAGCAGAAAGCTTACACATCTTCCGGCGCAGACTGAAAATCATCTCTTTACACTCCACTTCGAGCAATACAATTACTAACAAAGCACTTGTATACTAACAGAGCACTTGTATACTAACAGAGCACTTGTATACTAACAGAGCACTTGTATACTAACAGAGCACTTATATACTAACAAAGGACTGGCTTATCTAAAGCCAGTTGAGTAGCACTTGAAATGTTTTGGCTCTATGAAACCTGATGTACTTATATGATCCTGTTTTCTTCAAGTTTGTATCTTCTTGGTCGAATGCACTTATTGTAAGTCGCTTTGGATAAAAACGTCAGCTAAATGCAATGTAATGTAATGTACACACAAACGGAAAGATTGACAATACAGTTGACTTTGACTTTTGACTTTGAGATACACACCTATGGCTGATAAATTGTGTCGTCCTCTGTCGACCCTGGTCCACCATGAATCCCTGCAGGGTGAAAGAAACCACACACATTCAAATGAGAGACCAGAAGAAAACCTCTGTATTGTAACATAATGTGTACTTGAGAAAAATAAAGAGCTCCTTGAACATTAAAGCATGGAGCCATGTCACAGTAGAGGCAGAACGTACAAATAGAAACCTGAAAAGTAGCCTAATGGGGCCACTTGAATTTTGGGAAGCCCCAGTGCAGCGTGGGATCTTACCTTGATCATATCCTCCCTCTCCAGCCGTCGACAGATCATACGAGATTCCAGCTTCCCGACATTCACCTTATAACTGATCCCGCGCTGAGCGATTCCCTTTGTGCCAGTGGATAATACTGCAGTACAACAACAAATATATAGGTAAGTTATTTTTTAAGAATTGCCATGCATTCAATCGTTTCTCAGCAATGGAATTTCTTGATTTGTTGTCTCTGTACTCTTGAGCTTTCTGTCTGTAAAATAATTAACTTCCAAATACTGCAGCTGGCTTATAAAGAACTGAAGGACTTTTTGGACCAAAATACGTACAAATACAAAATCATGCTACATTATGAACCATCCAGATCTCTCAATGCTTTGAAGTACAGAGTGGGCAGTGGCTCAGTCAGTAGGGGCTTGGACTTTGAGCCGTAAGGTCGCCGGTTCAAGTCCCCGACCAGACCTAAATATGGAGTGTGGACTGCTACTTGGAGAGGTTCCAGTTCACCTCCTGCCCTGCCGTGGTGCCCTTGAGCAAGGCACCGGACATCACCCTCCCCCCCCCCCCCCCCGCACTCCCATTGCTCCCCGGGCGCTGTGCAATAGCTGCCCACTGCTCCTAGTACTAGACTCCTGGTACTAGGATGGGTTAAAAGCAGAGAACACATGTCACTGTGTGTGCTGTGTGCTCTGCATGTGAGACCATTAAAGAGGGTCTCATCCCTCCCGATTCTTCTTCTAAACAAAAACAAAATGCTTCCTGACTGCATGAAACATCGCCAAACTATTGAGCTGACACATGAAATATCTGTGAAGTCTGTTTGGTGAGAGTAAAGACAGAGATCTAACCCATGTTATAGGCCTGCGACAGGACGTCCCTCTCCATGATTCGCCCCTCTGAAGGATTAGATCCGATTCTCCCTGCTGGGAAATCTTCATCGTCCTCGTCGTCATCATCGTCATCATCAGTGACGCCCTTCTTCGTGTACGGCTTCAAGAATCTCAAACAGCGCACAAGCACTTTCTTCCCTGGAGAACAAAGTGAAATGATGCAGAGTATTTGTTGAATACAAAGCTGAATATAATTACACAAAAAACAATTATAAGAATGTAATAAAAAAAAATGTATGTGATTAAATTATTCAAATAAGATGGTAGATATTTTTATATTTCTATACCGTAACCCCTAACCCTGTCAATTTAATATTTTCTACATATAATAACCCTATAATAACAATAATATTTCTGTCACTCTATTAGCGTCCCAATGAACTTTATGATCAAATTCACTTTGTTAACTTATTTGATTTTGGATTGAATCTACTACAAATACAAATATATACCATTATACAGAGCTGCATGTTTTGCACACCAAAGCAGAATAAACTATTATCTAATGAATAAGTCAAACTACAGAATTTTTTTATAAAGTTGACAATTTTCTAAATGTTTTTGCTCAAATGTGCAAAACAACCCCCAGAAAAACTCAGGTTTTTAGATTTTCAAATTCAATTTAAATGAGCATTTATTTGTTTGAAAGATAGAATATTAAATATCTCTGGATTTTTGGCCAAAACAAAATATGTATGTTGGACTCAGGGAACATTTAAAGGGCAAAATTGAAAAGGTTGTGACAGTTAATCAACTGAATACAATAAATATTGTGATCAATAATTAATTGATAGTTTTATCCCTACACAAAACATATTGACTTAAGTTATTAATAAAATGATATTAACATGATGCTGGCAAGAATAAGATATTACTACATGTTTTGGGGATTTTATCTTCTTTTCTTTTACCTCAATTATTACGAAAATGTTCCGAGTTTTAAAATCTAACAATTTTAGGTGAATCATTAAAGCCGAGTACAATACATCAAAAATATTTAAGGCTAGTCGTAGAATAGCAGCAGGACAAAAAAACGATTTGCAAACTGGGCTTCACATTTTCTTCTGATATTGAGATGACACACTCTGGTAATAAGTTATTGTTATTAAATTGATGCATGCTGGTAACACCGTCATGCTGTGCTGATGTGTTCAGGAGCTTCAGGTGCATGTTACCTTTCTTGTTGATGCACGGCCCGGCTGATGGGTCTAAATCCTCCAGAGGGTACTGACAGAACTCAGCCAACTTGGCATTTCTCATGTACTGAAATACACGCTTGAAAGTGCTGTCATCCACATTCTGAGAGAAAACACACAGTTATTACCACAAACACACACACAGAGCCACACACACAGAGCCACACACACTCGCAGAGAGATACTCACCAGGTGGTGTTTCAGAGTGAGCAGAGTGGCAAACTGACCCGGGGACTGCTGCAGGAGGTTGGAGATGTACTCCATTAGGATGTCGTATTTTGCCCTCCTGAAAAATAAGAAGATGGGGTTAGAAGGAGTTTCTCAAGAAGAGAAATGGACAGTGAGTGGGAGGGACAAAGGATACTGATTAAATAGGCTAATACATGTTAATACTTAAAGCAAAAACATTGGCTTTGTTCCCTTTTAACATCATGTGTTGTAGAAAAGACGCATTAAACCAGGGGTCTCAAACTCAAGGCCCGGGGGCCAAATCCGGCCCGCGACTTGATTTTGTGTGGCCCCGCAAGAGCTTGCAAAGAATATAATACGTTTATTATACGGTTACATGCCACTTTACAGAAGCAGGTTGCCCATAAACTACATGTCCCACAATGCATCTCGTTTTGTGACATGCACACTGAAGAGACTTGCAATTATTTGCCCTGGACTTCTGCTTTCAGACGTAGTTAATTACGAAGTTATTATCCTATCCGATAATAATCCAATTCAGAGGCAATAATGTAATATAATACATTATTTTATATATTTATATAGTTACAACCGGCCCTTTGAGTGCAACCTTTATGCGAATGTGGCCCGCAATGAAATTGAGTTTGACACCCCTGCATTAAACAGAAGACAATTGACAGTTTTATCTCAAGTGAATTCAAATGGAAAGGGGATATACAATCCTGATGTAAGGGTGCTCATGCTCCAATGAAAAAATGTCAAGAAGTCTAATTACTTTTATGAAAAATGTAGCACTGATGAAGTAGTTATTTGCTTTTTTCAAGAGGCAGCTTCTCTCTAATTCAATTCTGTACAGTTTGGCTGGATGTTTGTGTCTCTATTGCTGCAGGAATCGTAAAAAACATTGTTGGACATTTTCGTCATGCTGGCGCTTGAATTTTGATGCATGTACTTTACAAAATGTGTATGAATCCTGTGGCAGCCACACTGCCTACACCAAACAATCTAAAAGTGACTTGTTTTTTTAATGTAGACTGAAAAAGTGAAGAAGATAAATGCTTCCATATATTTATTTTAAGATAAATGCTCATGTCAGAGTTATAGGTCAGAGTACTATGTTCACCAGGATAGCAGGTTAGCTTGCTATAGTTTTCAGGTCATAAACCTTATGTATTAGACACATTTGACCAGATAATGACGGTAAACGAAGAGTCAATGGATCACAAAAGTTACAGCAACCCATCCTCAGGGGACATTATGTCTGATCTATATTAAAGGACAGTTCATCTAACAATAGCAATAATTGCTATGATAGTTCAGTGTAGGGATGGGAATTTGAAAGCAAATTTATATTCAAATATTCGACCCCCTAAAAAACGATTAACATATCCTATAAAAAAAATAAAAAAATGTTTTAATAATTAATACATTTTAAAATAAATATAGAAACCAAACCAAGTTTTCTTTGATATTTTTCTTAAGATATTTAAAATGGCACTGTCGTATACATTTAATTAATCCATTTGATAATATGTAATAGGGCTGTGCGATTATGGCAAAAATCATAATCACGATTATTTTGGTCAATAATTGATATCACGATTATTAAATACGATTATTCATTGACTTTGAAAACATCCATTTATTGAACTTTTAAATACAAATAATAATTTGAACAGTATCTTTTTAACTGTTGATTTCCCTGAGCGTATAATTCAACTGAAAAACCAATACAAAAATAAATTAAATTATACATTTATATCTATATTTAAATAAATAATATCAAAATAATAAATACCAATAAACAAGATCAACAAATATTTTGGAGCGCACTTCAACAAGCTAATAAACATATGTAAATATGATAAATACAAATACATTAGATCAAATATGTGTGATGTCACAACCTAGCAAAGCAAAATAATCGTTTTTTTCGATTATGTTGTTTTCGTAATTGTGGCAGGCCAAAATCATAATTGCGATTAAAATACGATTAATTGCACAGCCCTAATATGTAATCAACTTAGGCACCCTTCCCATAAAGAAAATACTGAATCATTTTGAATATTCAATGAATCACTCCCGTCCCTAGTTCAGTGGTGGAGCGTAAACAGACCTGTTGACGTAGAAGCGTTTGAGCAGCAGCAGGATGGAGTGCTGCTGCTGTCCTGAGATCACTCGCGTGACGTGAGACTGCATGCTGACCAGGCCGTGTTTCACCAGATCCTTCCTCATGTAGTGCAGCTTCCGAGCATCGATCCTGTTCAGACACAACACTGCCTGTTACACGGAGAACAAAACATGCAATGTGCAAAACAGACACTTGTTTTGCACATTGTACTGTCCAATAATTACTTGTTATGTGAAATAATGTCCAACATTTTTATAATACCTGAACACCTCAATGTGTTACTTACGTCACATCTTTAGTTTCTTTCTTCCCCTCCGCTACCGGCCTCATAAACAAGGCCCGGCCCCCCCACTGACACTTTACCTCAGCCACAACGCAGACTATATGCATTACATTAATGCACACAATGTACAACAATATGTTTGCTTTTCTCTTTCTGCCGATTTTTATTCACTATTTTATTCATTTTTATTCCGTTCCATTGCGATGTAAATACTGTTATTTGTTATTTTACTATATTTTTTATTATTTTTAATATTTTTCTAGTTCTCTACCTGTGTTTTTAATTCTTGTTTTACTTTTATGTATGCACCACGACACCAAGTCAAACGTCAAACGTGTAAACCTGTTTCTGATACTGATTCTGATCTTTAGCCATGGGTGTGTAATTATTTTTCTTTATCTTTATTCAATAAGTAATGTGTGCTTTTCCCCTCTATATCTAATAAGTTAGCTTACTCTTTAATATTGTACTCCTTTTTTGACCTGCCAGGCCACTTTTGCTGTAACACTGTACATTTCCTCGCTGCGAGACTAATAATAATAATAATAATAATAGATTACATTTGTATAGCGCCTTCCCAAGGCTGCTTTACATGGTGTGAACAAAATAGCAGCAGGAGTGGAAGCAGGGGACTGTGATGGGTTAGGGGTCAAAGGCCATGGTCATGACTAATAAAGGATTCTGAACATCTGAACTTCAGCTTGAACACGAAGCACAAGTGACCCCGAGCTAAATGCGTGTCCCGTACTTGAAGGAGCTTCCGTGCAGATCCTTTTGAAGCTCTCCTTGCCATCGAGCTCGGCCGACTCGTTCCAGCACGCAGTAAGAGTCGTCGTTGAGTTTCAAATCAGGATCGCTCTCCGGACCAATCAGGGTCCTGAATCGCAGCGTCTGGCACGCCGCCACGACAAGCTTTCGGCCATATCTGAGGAGGGACAGGGTGGAAAGAAGGAAGAGAATGAGACGAATCCACAGTTGCACTTTAAAATTGTATTTAAGTCAAAGTCAACTTTATTGTCAATCTTTCAGAGAGATCGAAATACCGTTTCCCACAATCCCGAATACAAAAACAAATATATATAGAATGTATATACCTATATATACACAATCAAAGACACATTTATACATATGCACACATTAAGACCTAAATAAAAGCACAATAATCAATATATACAAAAATAACAGTCACTTCAATATCTTTGAAAATGTCGGTGAATACAATGAATGACTTATGTGGTTAAGCTATTAGTTCGGAAGGTAAAAAAGAAAGTGAATGAGTGTTGAATTAGTTGAATATCAAACAAACTCTTCTTACTGTTCCAAAGCCTCCTGCAGGTTGAGTAAGGGGGCGAGGGACTCTGAGCGGACATTTTTAGTGATGTCTTTCCTCTCTTTGAATAATGCACAGGAGCCCTGAATCCCATTCTTGTTTTCTAGAATCATATCAACCGGGTAGACATCTTTCCTGTCAGAAAAATTCTGTCTTGTTTCAATGCCCGTTTCTGGGTCGATGCCTTTGAACCTGAAAACACACATACATGCATGGAAACACAAAGTCAGGGTATCAAAATGTTAAAACAAAGAGTTAACAACAACAATAATATGTCCAAAAAATTACCTAATATATTTTTTAAACCTGAATTGTAAAGAAAAATACCATACATATCAAACACTCATAATGTCCCAGGCACCACACTGCCAGTTCAACTAACAAATAAAAGACTATTTAACTCCTCTTCAGGGATTTGCTACCATTTAGCCACACGATCATTAATGTGTGGAAGATGATGTTGGGAACAGAGCCCTTTCCTAATTGTTCTTAACCCGTTTCCTCCAAATGTATAGAACATAATAGTCCTAAATCTCTAACCAATAACTGCACGATTACCCTACATATTAAAATAGAAAATGTTTGTTTTTTCTGTGGATCTGGTTAACTAAAAATGCCCCGGCTTAAAGCCATAAAAGATTACATTTGAAAACAATGCATTGCAATAGCTACAGACTTTAAGGGAACTGCACTCAGCTGATTTAAAGAGAAGTGCGTGTGGTCATTCAACACAGTGGAAAGTGTTAAAACAACACACCTCCCAAACGGATCTGAAAACATTATAACATCATAACCTTTATTGAGGTTTGTTTTTGTTGCATCAGACTGCAATAACATACATGAAGAAACATTTCTAAACTGCCTGCTGAGTTTCTCTGTAAGAACATCGTTCCACTAAGATAAATAAAATACAGATTAACATATCATTTGAGTCAGTGTATCTTGATAGGCCAGCACACAACTAACAAAATGTAAACAATGTAAATTATTTAAATTATTCAGCATTCAGTAACATTTAGGACATCGTTTTGGGGGCAAGTGGGACAAATACTCTGTCTTTATTTGCTTTAAAGTGTGCTGAACCTTTCATTATAAGCAGAACTCACCTGTCAAACAGCACCACATCGTCTCTCTCCTGCGGCAGCTGGTACAGCTTCAGCTCGGTGTTGTTGATAAGGGACCTCCAGACGAGCTCCTTGGTGAGGTCATCAAGCTTCAAGGGAAAAGCAGGCTTTCTATTCTCTAATCTTATCCACAGAGAGGGGATAGTTATTCCGTCCAGACCCTCCAAAGCCACTTCATCCACAACTATAGTCAACGAATCCATGATGCTACCAACTAGCTAACGTGCTAACATGCTAACTTAACAACAACTAGCTAACTAGCAGCTTGTTTGGTTTGTTCCGGGTTTTTAACTCACCGGATGCTACAAATAGATTATCTGCATACTGGAGTTATTTTATTCTCATACGCCTGACAGTTAATAATAACCAAATAGTAAAACGTGTTTACAAGTGCGTCTTCCAACTGGTGACTCTGTACGTGATTACGTCATATTTTAACTATGACCTCACGTTGACGTTACGTCTCTGCAGTAACAAACCTTATTCACAAGGTGGCGGTGAAGTAATGTCCTGACATGATCTGGAGCAAAATAGTGGAGGTCTCTTTTTTTAATTATTCAGAGATATTGCCCTGCTAATTTTTGTTTAGTTGAAAAAGGGATAACAATGTTCATTTTCCCCATTCTAAAAGGCTATGCAAGTCATTTAATTATTCATACTATTGACTGCAATTTTATTTGGTGCTTTGAATTGATTTCATTTGGTTTTAATAAATGTATTTATTGAATAATAATATGTTATTATGGAATAATATATTATGAACATAATCAATCATTTAGAAAAATCTCATAGCCTCATTTAAAAGCCTTTATTTGAAAAATAAAACAATACATGAACACTATCTTCTATTAAAAACAAAACGGCAATGAGGACACTGAATTTGTGCTTTTCATTTGATGCATTTGTATAAATTAATAATGTGCCATAGGATTGTATATTTATTATTGTTTAATTTTGTATTGATATTACCAATGTCTTCTGTATTTATTTTACTAACATAGAGACATAAAAAAAGGTGGAGTTCAAGTGCAGCTTCTGGATAATCTTCATGGATGCATACAAAGAGATTATATTGCACAGAAGATACTTGTTTGCCATATACATTTGCTGTGTTTATTTACAGACCTACTGCTGAAAATGTATATCATTCAGTAACTACGAGCAACTGTGCTAGCTTCTCCGGTGTCTCTTTTATCCTGGTAGAAAGTAACATTTATTAACATCATGCTTTACTTAAGTATATCACTTTGTCAAACTCAAGGCCCGGGGGCCAAATCCGGCCCGCCACTTAATTGTATGTGGCCCACAAGAGCTTGCAAAGAGTATACTACGTTTATTATAAGGTTACGTGCTGCTTTACAGGGGCACGTTGCCCATAAACTACATATCCCACAATGCATCTCATTTTGTGAGATGCACACTGAAGAGACTTTCAATTACTTGCAATGATTTGCCCTAGACTTCTGCTTTCAGACCTAGTTAATTATGAAGTTATTACCCTATCCGATAATAATCCAATGCAGAGGAAATATTGTAAAATACATTATTTTATATACATATTTATATAGTCTTAAAGTTACCACCGGCCCTTTGAGTGCAACCATCATTCAAGTGTGGCCCGCGAGGAAATTTAGTTTGACACCCCTGCTTTAACGCAACATAAAGATTCCACTCCACTGTATTTACTGGATAATATAGCACTCTTTATAGGTATTGCTTCAGTTTTAGGGTCTTGGTATTGTGCACTTTAATTAGATCAAATCTGCATTTAATGTTATAAGTAACATTAAACATTAACATGTGCTTTTCCTGCTTTGAAAAGTCAATGTATCTGCAGTGAAAAAGTCATAAACAGCAGGAGTCATTGGCTTTATTCACGGTAAAAAGGAAAGCTTATAAGGCATGTGTGGCATTTTCTAAATAAGGACAATTAATTGAACAGTGACAAATGCAAGGATAGGAAGTGTTTATTCAACATCTTTATTATGAAGTACCTTTTTAAAAGAAATGTACAAGTGGAACCAGCACAGTGACATCTTGGCGTTTACCTTTGAAAAACAGAAACACCATGGACTTGTGGTGCGGGTCTGAAGACACGTATGAAATGATAATGTACATATTTACAGCAGAGGATCTAGAACAGAAGTGAGCAAGCATGGTTGCAGCTAAAAAAAACAACGGGACTGACTGAAAATAAAAACTTAAACATTAAAAATCATGGATTGGTTCAATAAAGATATTTCGAAAGATAACATGATAAAGGCACTGTGTTTCACACAAATTGACAACACAACAGTTGTTTGTTTTGTCCATCGAATCATAATCACAAGAAACAACTCTTAACAAATGTCGTCATTCAACTGTCCCTGGGCGTTCTAACAAAACAGATCAGATATATCAGAGGGCCGAAGCAGGTCGCACATACACATTAAAACAAAATAGATAATTCAACTCATCAGGAAAACATTCCTTATAAAGAACATGCTTGGTGATTATTAAAATTACATTTTTTTATAAACAAATACATATCTAAATTTTAAATTCCATATTGAAGGCATAATGGGTTGAAGTGAGGACAAAATGTGTTTTCAGATCCTATGTCTCCCTTACTGGGCCGAAACCCATGACAACTGTGTCGTTGACATTCCTGCGAGACGCACGTTAGGACCTTTTAGTTTGATGAACACATTCAATTAACTACCAGCATAGATAACACAAAACACAGGCTGACGGTTTGAGATCAGCGCCGAGGACCGACACGATGACAGGGCCAATGAGGGGACTTCCTTTGAGGACAAGGCGGGAAAACGTTTTTTTTAAAAAGTCTTAAAAGTCAAATTACATTCAGCTTACACAGCTGGTGTGAGATCAGTGCGCTGTCTGCTCGGTGCTTTATGATATTCTGCAGGACTGAAACCAGGGGAGAGGTTTGTAGGAATAGTTTGGCATTTGGGAAAATCCACAGCTGAGAGTTGGACTGATACCATACTGTTGTTTGTGTTAAATCTGAAGCTCCAGCCATTTAGCTTAGATTAGCATAAAGACTGGATACAGAGGGGAAAAGCTAGCTTAGAGAATGAATCCACGTTCACCGTAAAGGCTCAACTTGTTAAATCATAACATTTAGTTATTTCACATCTTTGAACGGATTAAGCAATTAACGGAAAAGCATTTTGGTAATGATTGAAATCATTTGTGAGCAGAAATGTCAAGCATCATCTAGTTTTGAGTTGAGCAAATTTGCTGTTATTATTGGCAACATTTCCTAGTAAACTAAAAACGTTTTCAACGATTGGTCACAAGAAACAAGTTATTTTTAAATATTTTTACAGACAAATTGATAAATCAATAAAGAATATGTGGTTACAGCTCTAGTCTGTTCGATTTACAAAGACATGCTAGCTTTTCCCATCTGTTTGAGTCTTTATGCTAAGCTAACAAACTGCTATTTGCAGCTTTATAATTGTCGAACAGACATGAGTGACATACATTTGTTCAACTTACTCTCAGCAAAAAATGTATATAGTTCCCCAAATGTCAAACTCAGTGTTAAGGGTTTAAGTTGGATGATCTGCAAGAGGAAGAAGACTCCCTTCTGCTCATGATGAACAAATACATTTGATGCTTGTGGACTTGGACTGCACAGACACACGCATGGAGGCATAAGGGACGCACCGCATAATGCTCTTTGGCTGAGTTCAGGCGTACATAGCACAGGCTTTCACACTCACCAACACGTTTAGAATACTCTAGATTGTAATGGCACTGGCCATAAGGCAGGCAGCTAGACTGAGTGCGGAGCTACGTACAGTGTAGCAGAAAAACATGAGGTGGTGACGGTGTGATACTGTGGTCAGAGACGGCACAACTGGAGTGTGCACGGCTCTTTTTCATAAGAGTGTATACAGAAAAAGCCTATAATTAAAACCCATGGCGCAGGAGAACAGAAGTACACACTCACAGGTAAACAGTACAGACGTGAGCTGCAGGGGTGCATCATAGGAGGAAAAACAAACGAAAGGCTGCCCTGAAATGACTAATGAACTAGCTTCAAAACATACACAATAATACAACATTAAGTTTGAGATATAACGAAATTAGGCTGCATTTATAAGTAATAGTACCTGCCTTGTACATACACAATTCAAATAAAATGACACAAGTAGCTAGGATACTTGTCTTATCAAAAATATGTAGCTTTGGTAAACAAGTTATGTAGAGAACTGTTGTTGTGTGGATGTGAGAGATCACTACATGACATCTAGGAATCAAGGGTGAGAACGTTTTTTGAGGCTATGAAGTCAACGAGAGAAGGAGCAGGCTTAGAGTTCCTCCTCCAATAAAATCCTCTGTCCTCTCGTCTCCAGCTGATGAGGAACAGAGACAGCGAAAAGGCAGCGAGACTCCCGAATGGAAACTAAAAAAAAAAACTGCTTTCTTTACCGTCCCGAGCACCGATTGAAGAGTTTCCGTGGTAATGTAGCAGCATCGTAATGGTCTGCGGAGGATTAGACTCCTCCAGAGCCGAAGTGGAAGACTACTTTCTCTCCTCTCCTTCCAGCAGTCCCCTCACCCGTTTTCCATCCATCGCAGTGGAAGACCGGTCAGATTTTTTTTTTTCAACAGCGCTCCTCGAATATCCACAGTGGAGACAAGACAGGTGAAATAACTTATGTTCCTTTTTCCTCAGCTCCTGCTTCATGTGGTCTTTGCTTCGATCCAGGCACGACATCCAGATAGTCCATAAAAAATAACCGACCTCCTTAATACTCGAGCGTCTACCATTCAGCGCCATCTTCCCCCCCCCCTCCCTCTGTCACACGTTGCTTCTTCCATCTTTCTACTTTCATTCACTCCTCCCGGTTTGGATTTCTATCCAATGTTCTTATCTCCTTTTTTCCAATGATCTTTTTTTTCACCAATTTCTGCATCATCTTTCAGTTCCCAACATTTCAGTCAACCTTCTCCACCTTCCCGATGATCTTCTCCTCGAAGATGGGCAAGATGGCGTCATCGTCCCGAACCTCCTCGAACACCACGCCGCAGTCAAACTCGTCGCTCACTTTCTTAAAGTAAAACCTGCAAGGAACAGAGATGCTTAAGTATCTAGGAGCCAAACACCGAGACAAATAGTTCATTTAAAACGTGATGTTCTGGTATGAGGTTTCTAAAAGTTGTTTGGTCATCTATTTATGTAAATTCCCTGAGGGATGATTGCAAGTAGGGATGCTCCGATCGATCGGTGCTCTCTAAAAATGCCGATCGCAAGAGCCGATCACATGTCGTAAAATACATGACACTTTTCTCTGCGCGGCAAAGCAAGCTCGCCAAAATGGCTTCACCAGTCTGGCAGTATTTTAAGGTGTCCGAAAAAGACAGTAAAATAACGGTATGCAACGTGTGTGTGAAGCAGAAATCCTGCAGCTCCACCCACTGTGACGGACCGGTGAGCGGAGCGACACACACACTAAGAGTTAGACCTAACACACTTAGCTATTTTATCTACCTCTGGAACAAGCTAAACTAGTTATAAATATATTTATTTTTCACTGTCGGGTCGCTCATTACTGGATCAGTGAGCTGCATGAGACGATACTGACAGGCTGTCAGGAGAGAGGGAGAGGAAAAGAGAGCGCTTCCGCTCATTTCTCCCGTGTTATTATCCAAAGTTAATGTAAACTTGAATAATGTACTTCATTTGAATGTCATAATTATGTTGGTTGTTGTTTGTGGAAGCGCCAGTGAATGAGCCCCATTAACTGAGTTTTAAACATCACTTTAAATGGAAGATCCCCATAGGCCCCGCCCACTCGATCGGTATCGGCCGATACTGATTCCGGCGATCGGAGCATCCCTAATTGCAAGTGATCAAAATGCTACTAATATCCAGCAAGAAAGCTATCACTAGGAATTGGGGTAAGGAAGCACCACCAACGATGGGTACCAGTTGTGGAAGAAATCTTTTTGATGGAAAAACTGACTCATAAATCGAGATTGCAAGAAACCCAACTCAACAGAAAGTGGGGGAAATGGACTCTAACAAAGACATTTGACTGGAACAATAGCTAATAGATACATGTCTCTTCAAGAATATAATAACATGAAGACATATCCCTAGCCTTTTATTGTATTTTGTACTGCTGGCCTTTTGTTACATGATTGTAATGTTGTTGTAACCAGCATGTTAATGTACAATGTGACAATAAAGATTTAAATTACAAAGAAAAAACGTGATGTTCCAACACAATCTGTACATATTTATATATATGCATGTTCTCACCTGTAATGGCCCTTTTTGGTAAGCAGCTCCTTGAACTGGCCCAGAGTCACCACGCGGCCTTTGACGGATGTTCGGTATGGGATTGGCTCTCCACAGAAGTAGTAGGCGACGGTCATGTTCTCACACACCTGGCGCTTACCAGACGATTTATGCCTGGAAGAACAAGAGATCCGCATTGAAACACTCAAGTAAACAACACAGAGACCACTTAGAATTTGGGGTACAGATGCACAGATTTCTCAACAAGTCAGATTTAAATTTGTATTTAAGCATAAACTACATATTTAAATGTTTTCTGATTCAGATTATCTTTCATATAAATAACTATATTGACAGCATGTATTTTAAAATGTTTTCTTTCTTGGAAAATGGGCATTTTATTCCACATTGCACCTAGTTACAGGTCCATTTTTCACTTTTTAAATTTGCAATGTTCACAGGGATAATGTTTTTTTAATTGTTTGACTTGGGAAGTAATTCCATTTTTTTTTAATTAATTTTTTTTTTACTTCAGAAAATGCAGTCATTATAAAGTTGCATTTTTCGATCTTTTCTGCTTAGTAACTTATAACAACACATTTAAGATACGATGTGTATTGTTTGACAGTCTGCAGAAGCACTAATAGCCTCAATCAGAAGCATGTGTGTACATTTTTAACCCAGAAGAAAATATATCAAATGTGTAAACAAGCGGCCGGTTTCGCCGAATAGTCAATGCATCACTAATTCAAGGCTTTTAATGTCATGTGTGCATAGCTACAGTGTAGTTATGACAATGAAATGCTTAGGTCACAGGCTCCTCCAACAGTGCAACACAATGAAACAGACAAAAGTGCAAGTAAATCAAATAAATAGAAATTATGCAGAATAGTCTAAATACAAGTTTACAGGTAAATCCCCCGTCACACCCACCTCTGCTTGGCCTGCTGTAGTGCGTTCCTCCTCCTCTCCTCCTCCAATCTCCTCCTAGCCTCCTCCAGCTGGGTGAGGGCGTTGGGGGCCGGGTTGGGGGGCATGGCGGGGTCCTGGATGAAGGGGTGCGAGGGCTGGACCTGAGTGGACGATGGTCCGGGGAGGGCGGGGGACACTGAAGACGAAGGGTTGTTACGCAGCTGCGCCGACACCCAGGGGTGCACGGCTCCGGGTCGCTCCACTGAGGTGGGGTGCGGCGACTCGCTGCTGGGACCCCCCCTCCTCGAGCTGCTGGTGCTGCCACTGGGAGAACAACAGGAATAATGTCAAAGAGCTACAAATATACACGTTTTGCCCATATTTAGATTGATACCGATTTACAGCTCTACAAACTAAATTGTTGTTTTAAACAGACGTTCCCCCCCCCCCTCCCTCTGAACTCACTCCCACAACCAATCAGAAACGGCACTGCCCTCCCCACCTTTAACCCACTGACCAAAACTCACCTTTTCAGACTGGCTTCTAATTAGTGATTAATGTCGTGATTATGTCCTTGTGTTTTTTCATTACTTGATTTTAATTCAACTTAAAAAAAAAAAAGTATTATATTTTACCACTGAAACAGCGCTTGACAAATAAAATGTATTATTACAATTATAAAAAATGCATACATCTTGGTTAATAGTCACCTCAATCCTGCTTTTATGGAAAACTAGCTGATAACATAGTAGTGTGGGGACTTAAAGAATATCTCTATATATGCTGCTCAAAGCGTTCTTTGGCTTCAAAAAGTTGAAGTGTGAGTGCGATTTTTAGATTTCCTTATATCTCTTAGACATTAAGCATGACACATCAGTTGCAAATGATCGATCATGAAATCCGTAACAAAATCCTTAATTTAATCTGGTATAATAAAAGGTCCTCCGGTCTGACTTTGTTGATTCTCGGCCCTAATTCCTCACCCATGAGAGGTCTTCCTCTGTCTGTCTCCCTCCATCATCCACTGCAGGATCTTCTGGTTCCTCTCCAGATCCTCCATCGGCGGCTGGCCCTCCGTCACTCGCCCGCTCTCCTCTCCTTTGCCCGGCGTCTCCGATGTCTTCTTACAGCCTCGCCGTGACAGCGTGCTGCCTTTACTACTGCAGAGACACAACACATACAGTCAGGTCATCTGAGCAAAAGACTGTAAGAAAGCATACATGTCGAATGATACGTTTGCTTGTTTATCGAGTACGTTTTGTGTCTTCATGGCTGTGCATACATGCATCAGGGTGAGTGTGGTTATATGTGATCGTACACTAGAATAAGAGTGATTGTGTGTTAAGTTAAAATCTCTGACAGTCATTTCTGTAGCTTTTAAGCCTAATTGAGTGCAGTTATCAAGCAGTAACTTAGTTGTTGATATGTTGGAGTTGTAACAGTCCTTATTTGTCTATGAATGTTTACCTAATTGTTTTGCAAATATAATCCCCTTTGTTTGTATTATCGTTACAGACCACAGCTTAAATAGATCAAGTCTGTCTCCATTTTCTCTACCAGGACACATATTCTTGAGCAAACTTTAACAACCTGATTTCCTGGAGACCCCACCTCCTTTATAACGGCACAGAGAGCAACATGTCAGCACATTTAAACAAGACTGTCTTACCTGTAGCCCATGCCCTCGTGCGTGCTGGCTCCAGCCCCGTCGGCGTAGTTGCGACTTCTCCCTGCGTACTGACTGGCAGGGTCTCCGTTCCACATAGGGTTCGCCTGAGAGCGAGAGCCAGCCTCCTCCTGCCCTCTGTGGTGATACAGCTGCTTGTGATGCATACCTGAGACACAGTGAGACCATTAGTGACACAATAACACTGCTGCAGTTCAAGATGAAGTGATGGCATCTGGAAAAATGCATTTATACACTGCATTTTGAAGCAGTATAGAAAGAAAACACAATTGTAATCGAGCACTTTTGTCTGTAATCACTCATGATTCTACACCTCAATCTCTCCCGTTAAGGCACAAGAGGAAATGTATGTTTTTAAACTTGTCACGGTCTTTATATTTCAGTCTAAGGATGGTAATATTCTCAGTCAACAAATCCCACAAAAGGATTACAAAAAAAACAGTATTAATTCTATCTCTGTCCCGCTGTTTAAAACATTCAGTTAAGTATCAATACATGTTCTTCCACTGCTGAAAATGTCCCCTTACAGCACTTTTTCCCTCCCGTTTGAATAAATGTTGCTAAAAAACGACAGCGCTCCAGCGGTTCTAGGACACTTTGAAGCCATTTAGACCATATATCTGTGGCTGTCTTTTAAAAATGCATGCTTTCAGATGAAAACCACTGGGCTTGAGACTAAGTGTCACAAGCAGTGTGTGAAAGACGGAGTAACACATTGTTGGTCAGTGTTTTTCCATGTGATTAGTTCACATAAGGAACCCTGTGAGAACAGCAGTATGTTCAAGGCAAGGCAAGTTTATTTATACAGCACCTTTCAACACCAGGCAATTCAAAGTGCTTTACAAAAATGAAAGACATCAAGAAAATGGCATTTAAGAACAGTCATTAAAGTCTATAAATGAGAATGGACTCCTTTATCAAAAGGTGGAACGGTGTTAAAAGATACCTGGATGTCTAGCTAGTTGAAAAGGGTTGTTTTAACTTAATTGCGTTTCAAAAGAACATTATGGAAAATGTCCCCGTGTAACCGATCCTGCTTTGCTAAAGATGTCACTTCTTGTGTAAAATTATTAATAATTTTTTTTTTTTATAATTATCTTATTCCTTATTTTAACATGTAACTGTTTAACTTAATTTTTTACTTTATTTTATTTCATATTCAGTTTTACAATATTATTATTTGTCATTTGAATGGAAGAGTCTTATGTCAGGATATGTCTTGATTTGTAAAAATGAAAAAAAACTGTTAAAAAAAACAGTAATTAAAAAGTTCACAGACTGATTCACACGGAAAGTAATGTGTTTGTGTTTTGATTGGCTTCTCACCTTTGACCCCCGCAGGAGGCAGACTGTGGCCCCCCCCTCTGTGTGGGGGGCAGTGAGGCGGTCCGATCCCCCCGTCGGGTGAACGGGATGATTTTGGGGGAGAGTGTCGACCGCCCCCTCCTCCTAAGGTGCTGTTGGTTGCCCCCGGCGACTGACATCCCGGCGTTTTCATCACGCGCTGCACGTGCTCGTCCAGGATGGACTCCGGGTCGTCGTCGAGGGAATCCTCCATGGCAACCAGGCCGCCGTACGTGGCGACCGTGTTGGCGGTGGTCTCCGAGTAACGGGCGCCGTAGAGCGGGGGGAACGCCGACGAGGGGAGGGGGAGCAGGGGTAAACTGTGAGAGGAGACGGAGGCTGCCACCGAGACGTCGGCATCGTCACCCTCCTCTTCCTGTTGGGAGAAATATATATATTAGTGTTAAATTAAAAATGTAGACACAGACAAACTGATATAAAAGGATTGGTAATTATTATTATTTGAGGTCTATGACCAACAACGATGAAATGCCCTTACCAAACTAATATAGAACATTTAAAAACTATCTGGCATTACACTTTTCATTTGAGACCTGGAGTGCTTTCTTTCACTGTAGTTATTACACTATTATATGATGAAGATTGGATAATTCACGGAGGGCTAGTTTGTTTATGAGCTATTCTTTCTGTTTGCCCGCTACAGCTACATTTGTTTCTTGTACCTTGTGTGTTAAACTACCACAGATGTATGCATCGTATACATGACACTGATTATTGCACTTCGTTAACACAATAAAAGTTTCTATGCTTTTTCAAAATAAGTCACCTGTTTTTAGTCACCTATTGAATCTTAGTTGTAAGTGTAAAGCACATTTTTCATCAAAGCACACCTTCAACACATTTTCAAGGACTTCCAGCACCCGTATGAACCGATTGAATAGTGTGTCATTCATTAAAAAAAGAATATCTGTGAAGGACTTGCTGCGATTTTCACAATAATAAAGTGTTTCTGAGAGAACACCACCAACACTGTGTGAATAACTGGCAGGACGAATCACATCACATCATGAGGAACACACACGGACACACACACACACGGGGACACACACTCACCAGTCGTACTCTCTTCAGCCTCTCTTCGAGTCGTTCCTGAGCCTCTCGCTCTCGGAGAACCGTCTCCAGCCTGCTGATGAGATCCGCTGCAAACCTCTCCGGCTCGACGTGGATGTCCTTTGGCATGCGGTACGTGCGCTGTATTGAGACACAACAAATTACATGTTCATAATCCTTTACACAGTAGGGCTGAAACAAGATTACATTTCTGTAAATGAACGTGTGAATTAGCAACTCATTTAGGCTGGAAAAACAGTAATAACCATGAAATTACTAATAAAGATGTACAAACTAAATAATTGTTTTTCTCAGTATGTTAAAAATGTTTGACAAGGTGATCCATAATCAGCTGTTTGTTGTCTGCTACAGTTATAATAATTAACTTCGCAACAGCCATGTTTGCCCTCTTTCTGTCAGACAAACTAAACACTTTTCTCCATTTTTCTATAAAAAAGGACTACTTAAAAAATAACGACCGTATTTTCTGCGACTCCTCTGCCTCAGGCGTCATAATTATAAAACCAGTTTTCAGGCCTGGCTTTCATAACATACACGTTCCTGCAGTAAATACTAATCTTGGAGAGACAGCCTTCAAATATTTTTGCGCCATTTGTCTGGCACAGAGACTGAAACTCCACATACCGATGTCAATAGGGCAATAAAATATTGGTCAGAGGTAATTTATTTAAAGGTGTGGCTGTTTTATAACATGCTTGTATTTTTATTTCCTTTTTATATCTGCCCCGAGGATATTTCCGGCATTTTGTTAATATTTCTGTGTGGTAAACCTTGCCATTTTATTATTGTATGTTTCATTTAATTACTGGTATAATGTACTGTTTTTCTCTGTAGCCAGGACACAATCTCAATGTGATTTAATTATTGAATACATGCATTTCTTTACGTTGATAAACAAACGGTTTGCAGACATATGAATTAGGTCAACAGGTGTATTAATGTTACTGCTGTTGCTACATGAAGACAGGTATGAGTTGACATGTGTGACTCACAGGTATATGAGGTAGGGGCACACGTCCATTGGCTTTGGCACTTTCATGCATCTCTTTACGATGCTGCTTCCGATATCTGTATGGAGGAATACCATCTCTGCACACAAAGATAAACAACTATTAAACACAGATCTAAACCATTGATTCAATTTGAAAACCAGTGTTGTTGTTCAATAGAGTGCCACAGTGACGCGTCCTAAAACCCGGAAGTAAGTTAGTATTTTACCACTTCCGGTTCCTTCGACAAAAAAGCAATGAAATCTCTCCTTAGGATTTTGGAAAATATCTGGAAATCAGGTCTGTGGTTGAGACACATTTAAGAGATGGATCACATTTTGTTCTACGACATTAAATACATCAGCAGTGACCCCACTGGTGATTCTTGAAGAGTTTACGATGGTTGTTAACATGTGGCTGAATAGGACTACAGAAGTTGTCGAGGCCGTTTTACGTCATTACACCGAACACGTAAAACACTCCCGCTAAGTTTGCTTCCCCTGTTCTGCTTGAAAGCAAGTACCTGCCTCCTGCAAACTGTTCAAACAAACGCTTCAACTTGTACCATTTAGAATCTGTAGTTTTGAATATGGATCTTAAGTTGGCGTGAAGTTGAAGCAGCGACCCTGCTGTAGTTCGTTTATAGCATAACGTTAGCATTTTGCTTCTGGCGACTAGATTTATGATTAGAAAATTATAAAAGTAGGGTAGACATGTGGATATTATCCGCAGGGTTCATACACTTTTTCACCAATGATTTTCAATGACTTTTCCATGACCAAAAAAAATTGATCTTTCTCAGCGGTACCACTGAAACTAGGGCAAAAATCCTAATCACGATTATTTTGGTCAATAATTGATATCACGATTATTAAAAACGATTATCCATTTACTTTGAAAACATCCATTTATTGAAATAAAAATGTGAACAGTATGTTTTTAACAGTTGATTACCCTGAACTTTAAGTATAATTCAACTGAAAAACCAAAAAAATAAAAAATAATTACATTTTTTTATAAAAATAATAATCGTTTTATTTCGATTACGTTGTTTTCGTAATCGTTGCAAGCCAAAATCGTAATCGAGATTAAAATACGATTAATTGCACAGCCCTAACTGAAACATTTTTATTTTAACATGGAACAGGAAAATAAGGTCTGCATATGAAACATGTTGTGCCTATCTAAAACAAATCAAATAGTAGGCTTACTAGCTCCTACAGACTAAAGCCACTATAGACAGTTAAATGCCATTTTACGTTTCATTACTATACGACACAGTATTTATTATCATTATAGTATTACTATTTCGGCGATTAGATAAAATATAAATTATATTTGATGCAACTTTGGTTACATTTCCATGACTTTTCCAAAACTTTGGGAAAAATATTGTTTTCCATAACTTTTCCAGGGCCTGGAATTTGTATTTTGAATTTCCATGACTTTTCCAGGTTTTTAATGACCGTAGTAACCCTGTATCCGGCTGAACAAAACGTGATCCATCTCTTAAATGTGTGTCAACCACAGACCTTATTTCCAGCTATTTTCCAAAATCCTATGGAGAGATTGCATTGCGTTTTTGTCGAAGGAACCGCAAGGAGTTTACTTCCGGGTTTTAGGACGCGTCACTGTGGCACTCTATTGAATATATCCTTATTGTCATCATACAAAGTACAACCACATTTCTTTGGCAACTCTCACTGTAGTAAAAAATAGACACAAATAAATAAGAGTGGTAAAAGCAGAGGTAGAAGTGATGACAGTGCAACGAGATACAATTCAATGTCAATGTGCATATTTACACTTAGTCTGAAAACGTTAAATGTACAAAATTGTATACATGTAGTTCTAACTGTGTTCATAAATATTTCTAAATAGTAGAAGTAATATGAAGAGGTGTGTGAATAATACATGTATGCAATAGTTTAGTGGCTGTGTGCATGCACTTACACACTGCTGTCGGGCAGTGAGAGTGTGTCAGCGTCGCTCGACATGCTCTGCTGCTCGCTGTCGTTGGCGCTGGTGGCTGGAGCGCGAGCGTAGCCCATGTTAGCGTAGTACGGGTTCACCGGCTCCCTACACGGCCTGAGAGGAGAGGAGAGGAGAGGTTAGAGTGAGCTCACAATTAAACGCTGATACATGTTCACATCCATGCACACGCTGACAAGAATACGTGTGGAGCGAGGATGACATCTCAGGGGGTTTCTCTTGCAAATGAATACAATCTATAACTGTTTGGTTGCTTTTAACTCAGCAGTGGGATATTTTTCTTCAATGATCAGAAAATATTCAGCTTTTCAACACGCTATAATCTTCTTCCCGGTCATTTTGTGAAGTACTGTTCGAGGTATTTTAAGTCACACGTGGAAATCTAAATGAGTTGATCTGTAGAACTCCACACTTTTAGGGCCAAACTACATTCCCAGGGTGCACTGCAGTTTTTTTATAATCACTTTCCAGGGGGCTTCCTTCCAAGAAGTTAGCAAAATCACTCATCACATGTGTCCTGTTTCTGTTTAACCCTTAGATGCATAAGTGGGTATTTTTGGAACCGGTGAGGTGGTTTTCTTGAAGTATCTTTGTAATTACATTTTTGTATTATTTCATATTCCAGCTATTCCTCATGTAAAAACATGTTTTGGATATCATGCCATTCACATTTTAAATTTAAATTTTAAGAAATTGTAGTTTTTGTATTACCCAAGCTTCCATAAGTGGGTCAAAAATGACCCGCATGCATTTTCTATGGAATCCTATGGGAACCTTTGATTCTTATCACCTGTTGCTGTCAGGAATACATTCACTGTAGACCACACAGACTACATCACAAGTGACACCTCTCAGGAAGATTATTTTACACAGCAAGATCTGATACCTGTCAGTATAATAATAATAATAATAATAATAATAATAATAATAATAATAATAATAATAATAATAAATTATATTTTTATAGGGCTTTTCAAGGACTCAAAATCGTTTTACAATATAAGGGAAGGTTAGGGTGGGGGGTATAGGACTATCAAACTTGATCAACCGGCATGGATTGATGGGGGGTGGGCTATGAGTAGACAAGAGGAGAAGAGATGAGTTTTGAAAAGGGACTGGAATACTGTGAGGGTCTCAGAATAGCGGAGATCTTTGCATCAATATGTTCAAAACGTTATTTTTCAAAATGTAAAAAAAAGTTCTAAAATTATAAATAATGAAAAATTAAATATAAAATATTTCTAGTGTGAACCAAAATAGAATAGAAGTGATTTTTCTTAACCAAAATGACAAAAATGGCATAAAAACATATCATTATTTTTGACCCACTTATGGAAGAGTGTAGGGTCCAGTCACTCATGCATCTAAGGGTTAAGCTTTCATTACCAGTATATCATGGAATATATGTGCAACAACCTAACCGTTCAAGTTGATAAACAATGTTTTAATTACAGAGTCCTAGGGTGAAATGTACTTATGTATTTTTGTTCTTATGTAAAGGAAAAAAGTGTTGTTAATACCAATTGTATGATCACCATAATTATTTACTGCAAACCTGTGCTCATTAAACATGTTGGTATAAAATGAAAAAGAAAATATGTGTGTCCTGATCAAAGCTGGATACGGATATCCCAAAAATATTTCCTTATCACACATTGTGATGGAAGAATTATGATGTGATGGTTAGGGTAACACACACACACACACACACCTGTACTCCCTGCTGTCCGGCCTCCTCCTGTTGCTCGAGGATCTCTGTGGGGCCGTGTGCATCAGCAGGCTCTGAGTCAGCCTTCCAGCCGGGGTGTCATCACACTCATCTTCATCTTTCTCCTCGTCATCCTCCCTCCCTCCTCCACACCTAAGACCACATTGAAAAAGACATTAGTGAAGCATTCATCATCATTTCACACATGATGAGAATGATTGGACCAGTTTCTTCACTGATAAATTAAAAGAAAATTAAAAATATTTCCAATAACGCCAAGAGTGTTGTTAGAAGCAAAAGTCCAAAATGTATTGATAGACTTCAAGACATTTATTTTTCTTTACTATGTTCAAAAAACGGTGTGCTTTCCAACACACAGAGGGAGGCACACACCTGTATTAGCATGGAGGTATAGCAGCATTTTAACAAACCTAATTGATAGGGATGCTCCGATCGGGAATTTTGTCTCTCTCTCTCTCTCTCTCCTGACAGCCTGTCAGTATCGTCTCATGCAGCTCACTGATCCAGTAATGAGTGACCCGACAGTGAAGAATAAACATATTTATAACTAGTTTAGCTTGTTCCAGAGGTAGATAAAATAGCTAAGTGTGTTAGGTCTAACTCTTAGTGTGTGTTCTGCTCCGCTCACCGGTCCGTCACAGCGGGTGGAGCTGCAGGATATCTGCTTCACACACACGTTGCATACCGCTATTTGACTGTCTTTTTCGGACACCTTAAAATACTGCCAGACTGGTGAAGCCATTTTGGCGAGCTTGCTTTGCCGCGCACAGAGAAAAGTGTCACGTATTTTACGTCATGTGATCGGCTCTCCCGATCTGCCTTTATAGAGAGCACCGATCGATCGGCCGATAACGATGCCGGAGCATCCCGAATAATTGACATTTATTAAAAATCAATTTCAGCGATCATTTTATAAATGATTATATAAAAAGGTATAATATTTCTAGAAGACTAAAGAAAAGTAGTATTATTTCCTTAATATTTGTTTCCCTTATTGGCTTAAACTGCTGCCTATATGTAACTATGTTGATGAAACTTATGAGTTAAATTTAACAACATTTATTTACTCATAAAATTGACAAACTAAATAATATTCAAATTGAGGATTTTTTAGGGATATATCTCTACAAAACAAAGTCAATAAAAGCTTTGAATGTAAAAAAAAAAAGAAGCCATTTTTTATTGTTGAATGATCCAGACATGGATCCTGTGCATTATAACACATTAGTGGTGCTTCATCTCACCTCCACTCCTCGTCCTCAGCGAGGGTTGGCAGGTACCCCGGCACGGGCTTGGCGGGCCCCGATGAAGGGCTCTGATCGCTGGGGTTCGGCTTGGGGCTCTCCCCTCCCGTCCGAGTGTATTCCAGGTACAGGTCCGACTTCAGGAACAGAGGGTAGGTGTTCTCCTCCATCACACCCTGGATCTCTGTCTGAGCCTGGAGCAAACAAGCAGCCGTCACACATCAGAGCTTGTGGAAAACTAAATGAGGCCTAAAGGAGATATCTTCATTTATTTTCTCATCAATAAACATGTTATTTTCAGACTCAAGGTTAATGACGTGTAAAGGTTTTGACCTGGCTCCTGCATTATGTTTATTTTCTTCCGGCTAAACAACCACAGGTCCAACCACTGTTTCTGTTATCTGCTAATCACCGTTTTGTTTGAATTTTTCTGGGAAGATATTATCATAACCAGGGTCTCAACTCTACTAAATGATGCCTAAAGGAGTTATCTTCATTTATTTCCTCATCAATAAACATATTATGAAACACAGGTCCAACCAGTCTTTTCTGTTATCTGCTAATCACCGTTTTGTTTGAATTTTTCTGGGAAGATATTATCATAACCAGGGTCTCAACTCTACTAAATGATGCCTAAAGGAGTTATCTTCATTTATTTCCTCATCAATAAACATATTATGAAACACAGGTCCAACCAGTCTTTTCTGTTATCTGCTAATCACCGTTTTGTTTTTCTGACCAGGGTTCCAACAACTTCTTAAACATCAAATTCGCATTGCTCATTTCCAGGCCTAACACCGCAAAGAACAAGTTTATAGGTGTAACAACAGCAAGATTATTTTATATTGGAAACTAGCAGTATTTACAGAAGCTCAATTTCGATGTCAGCACCTAACTCTTGGGGCAGGTGATGCGTGAAGTAACAGTGAAACTTCAATTATTACACAGAGTTTGTGTTGGTGTGTACATCAACATTCAACAATAGGCCATGTAGGGATACAGTTACTGAGCTAATGCCAGAGGAAGGTCTTATAACCAAGTGGTCACCACGCTTAATGGTAGTCATCGACTCGTTTCTTTTACACCACAATTATAAAAAGTATTGATAGTTTATGACCAACAACTTCTATGAAAAACCCAATGTGTAAAACATATAAATAGAGTACTGGTCGGCTTTTACACTTGAAAAACTCTGACAGCCTTTTATGACCACAAAACATAGCAGAGAAACCTTTGAGGTACTCATTTACTAGAACTGCATTTTGACTGCAAGGATGCAGGTCTAGCTTTATATCCAGCCGCCAAAAATGTCTCTTAAATGGGGAAGTACTGGATGTTTCCAAAGCATTTAGCCAGCAACTGTTGTTGGAAAACATGATTAACCTTCCCCTCCATGTGAATAATCTTTCATGGATAGTTACTACATACACATCTCTATACTTCAAAATGCAATTGGTCATGTTCTTATCCAAATAGAGAACACCCTCTACCATTTGTTGCACTGTTCAAAGGCTCACTACACATCATGAAGGAGGCAGACTGTGTTATCAAGTTGGTCAAATCTAGAAGTAAACATACAACTGAACTAAGACCCCATTTACACGGGAGCGCAAACAGACGCGAATTCGTTATCAAAAAAGTCTTCCGTTCACACGCAGTCGGCTCATTTAACTGCAGACAGCGCTGCCATCAAAGCAAATGTTGGTACTTTTGGGTGTCATGTAATCCTGCAGGCCTGCACAGCAACGATGTTCTGTATTAGCCAAAACACATACAGCCTAAAATCTTTATCTCTTTGTCAGACTGAAACTGACAGTCACAAAGTACTCAGCTCAACGACAAATAGCTGGTGAGCAATCCTCGCCTGCGTAACCCAACATGCATTGCTGATATTAACACACACACACACACACACAGAACTGTTACAGGATGTGTATTTTGTAAATTGTGTAATTTGTTTTCATCTTTAAAAAAAAAAAAAAGTTAATTAACATTAAGCTGTCTTTGGCTCTTTTCTGCTGTAACAATGTAAATATCCCGTCTGTTGGACTAATAAAGGTATTCTGATTCTGAAAACATGACATCAGGGTTTTTATTACCTGTTCAAACATGGCAGGGTCTGGATGAGGCTTCCCCACGCAGTCTCTGATGAAGCTCTTGGTGGCTCCTTTGATCTGCCTGGAGACGATCCCACTTCCGTCTACTATGTACTTCCTGTAGATGGCCTTGGCCAGCTTTGCCCTCTTCTCCTGGCTCGTCTTCCTGAACCCGGAGCAAGCAAACCAGAAGTCCAGGAGATCCGCACACCCTTCCTGACACAGGAAGTTTCGGAACAGCTGGATGCCTTCCTGGTCGTCCAGAAGAGAGTGAAGCGACTCGGCCCACTTCAGGTACGGAGGAGTTGGTGAAGCCGAGCCCTCGGGTTCGTACCCTAAGTCCAGATCCGGGCGCCGCGGGGTCGCAGACGACGAGGAGGGCGTGTAACTCGATTGATCCCCCATTTTAGATGATATCGATGACGGGGGGTAGCCGAGCGTTTGGGACAGGGTGTTTGGACGGGTGCTGACCGACTGGACTGGGGGGTCCACATCAGATCCCTCCTCCCCAGGAACAGGGGGTCGCGGAGCATCCTCGGTAAAGTGGGACGGGCCGCTCAGAGAGGCCACAACGCCCCCGCCGCCCCTGAACCCAATCCCATGTAATTCTCTGACAACACTCATGTCTCTGGTTGCTCAAAGCAGAGGTCAGATCTTCCTCTGTAGCAATGATTTTGCTGGCAAACAATTCACCCTGTGATAAAAAGGAGAAAAGTGGTTAGTGGTTGAAGTGGGACGTTGATGCAAAGGATATAAACATTGAGATAAGATGGTAGAGATAACCCTCAGCCTCTTTATTGTGTCAGACCACACATATATGAGGCACTATTAATAACCAACAAAACTAGCTACCAGAGACATCAGATTATGAACAAGTATATGAAACAAGCTTATTACAAAAATGCTAACTTCACACGTAAACTAGCCAACCAATAACTCACAAACTGTATAACAGTCTAAAAGGTAGGATCAAAGACAAGAGCTTCCATTGAAGAAAAGACATACAAAAGCACATTAAAGATTTTAAAACAATGTTAATCAGCACCCTACAAAGAGATAACTTTACAAATGGCTCCAACGATTGGGACAGGTATGTGTAGTACTAAACCTGATGTTTGATAAGCCTTACAGCGGCAAACACACGTTTACATGATATTTCTTTCAACAAGTATTGACTTCTGCAGCCATAAACATTTCACTTTCACTACACTATTATCCTCATAGCATCATTATCAGTGTGTTAATAATACCGTTAGTTAATTGCAACTAGCAGGACTCAAAATACACTTTCTTATTGTGTCTTGTGTTGTCAATTTCAAGTTCAATACTGAGATACTAGTACTTTACTTTGGTATTTTACTTCAAACTTCTACCCCACTACAGTTCAAAGTATATGGTGTTCTTTTACTCGACTGCAGTATACAACGTCATTCAAACTAGCTGCACCTTTACCAGGTTTGATAACACTTTAATGATCAATAACTATAAAACATATCATATTATTTTGAAATGGACCAATCTGCATAATTAGTTATTTTACTTTTGGTACTTTAAGTATATTTTGATGCCAATACTTTTGTACTTTTTATTGTGATTGCAGGACTTCTACTTGTAACAGAGTATTCCTACACTCTGGTACTTCTACTTTTACTACAATATATGAGTACTTCCTCCACCTCTGCGGATTGGGATCAATGATGTTAAATATGTAAATCAACACTTAAATCAGACTTCAGTTACACCTGGAGCAACATACACAAGCTACCCTGCAGTATACAAAGTCATTAAATCCAACTGCTCCTTTATAAGGTTTTATAACACTGTAATGCACCAATAATTATACTCAAAACATGTAACAGATATTATTCTGTAATAGACCAAACTGCATAATGAGCACTTTTATTATGGTTACTTTAAGTATATTCGGATGCCAATACTTCATTTACAATGCAGGACTCTTACTTGTAACATAGTATTCCCTACACTGTGGTATTTCTACTTTTACTTAAGTACAAGATATGAATACTTCTTCCACCTCTGGCTAACACTTTGTATAGCTGGACATCCTTATCTAAATAACCAAGTGTAATGTTAACAAGCTAAGACAGCTAGCTAGCCTTGTAGCAATGCCACCACCAATGCCAGTGCTTTGAAGTGGGAATCTCATTCATCTTGGCCTGCAAAAAGACGGTGGGGGGATGGGTACAGAAACAAACTCTACAACCACACAAGACGGGCCTGCAAAGCAAAAACACTCCCAACACCAGCGTACTTTGTTAACGTATTCATACCAAGTTAACTCGCACCAAAGCAAGGGCAACTTTCCTACTGATTAACACCAAGAAACCAGCCGATCTAACATCAAACAAAACAAGAAAGCGAGGGCACGTTTTCCACTCTACTGGCTGCAGCGCCAGCTAGCTTGGTGTGTTAGCTAGTTTTTAGTTAGCTTGTTAGCTTAGCTAGCTAACGTCCCGTTTGTTTTCCAACAAAAGTGTCCGTCCTACCGTCTCTGAAAGCCCGATCCCCGTAATCCGCTGCATTGGGGATACTGGCGCGAACTGTGTGCCCCGAAAAGCAGCATATGGAAAGCTTTTCTGGTATTAAATATTAACGAAAATGACCCGTCGACTAACCCCCTTAACTCCCCATGGTGGCTGGGTTTCTGAGCAATAATACAGAGCGAGAGAATACGTGCGTGCACGCCGACGCCGTGCGGTGTTGTAGTACGTTTGTAGAACTACAACTACCAGAAGCGACACACACTGCGCGTTACCATGCTACATGTTTGGCAGTGGTGAAAGTATTGTAAAACATATATATATATTTATATATATATATCATTTTAGTTTGAGCAAAATGTCACGTTCAAAAGAAAAAATTGACTGCCTCCAAACCAAATGTTGCACATGTTTACATAGAATTACAACAATATGGCACCACCATTTAAAATATATACAATAACAAGGCAATCAAAACCAAATGTATTTCATAGATATTATACTTGAAATGATAGCTGTTGATTTGTATCATTATTTTATTTACATGTCTTTCTTTATATATCATTTGTTTTAACATTTTACTCTGTATAAGATAAGATAGTACTTTATTGATCCCAATTTGGGAAATGTTTGCGTATGTGTAACAGTGTAGCCCCTGATGTCAATGTGTTGTAAATGGACTGTACTTATATAGCACTTTATCCAGTCTTTAAGACTCCTCAAAGTGCTTTACATGCTACATGTCATTCACCCATTCACACCCATTCATACAGAGCAGTGTACCTTACTCTAGGAACTAACATTCATTCACATTCACACACCGTTGGCCATCGGGAGCAACTCAGGGTTAAGTATCTTGCCCAAGGATACATCGACATGTTGACTGCATGGGCTGGGATCGAACCCACAACCTTTTGGTTATAAGACGACTGCACTCCCTCGCAGCCACAGTCGTGTGTGTTAATAATGTATTATGTTTGCATGTATTTTTTCTTGAATAAAAGATAGAAAAGAAAGTATTTAGATTACATCATTTACATTTTCAGAGGTGAAGAAGTTTTCTGACATTTTAGTAAAATAAAAGCAGGCTATCAAAATGTCATTATAGTCCTGCAATACAAATCTTACCACTACAAAAGTATTAGCATCAACATATAAATAAAGTACCAAAAGTACTAGTTATGCAGACTGGTCCATATCAGAATAATATGTATTACATTATTACATTATCATAAATATGTATGCAATAATGTGATCTTATGTTGCAGCTGGTAAAGGTGGAGCTCATTTTATGTGTAACGTATGTAAAACTAGAAGTATTCAATAAATAGACTGCAGTAAAAAATACAAATGTAGTGGAGCAGAAGTATGCAATTGCAGAAAATGGAAATACTCTAGTACCTTAAAATAATTAAGTTTAGATGAGTGTTTACATCTAAACACTGTAAATAATTAAACTGTCATGCGATTTTCACTATTATTGTCGACAAAGGAACTCACAACAATATTAAGGAGATAACTATGGAAAAATTGGCCCGTACATTGCAACACTAAAAATAATGTATACAGGCATTTGTGAACTACATCATAGTACATTACGTTTAGATAAGATAAAGATAAGATGTACTTTATGACGGTACACGCAATGCAAGCAAATCTTCCTCCATCAGGGTTACATCATTATATATTATCATGACTGATGCATGGCCATGCAAGCAGCATTTTAATGTTGATGGTTGCGACAGAGCATCTTCTACCTATTTACTTGCAGAAAATGGAAATACTCTAGTACCTTAAAATAATTAAGTTTAGATGAGTGTTTACATCTAAACACTGTAAATAATTAAACTGTCATGCGATTTTCACTATTATTGTCGACAAAGGAACTCACAACAATATTAAGGAGATAACTATGGAAAAATTGGCCCGTACATTGCAACACTAAAAATAATGTATACAGGCATTTGTGAACTACATCATAGTACATTACCTATTTACTGTGCAAGGCAAGGCAAGGCAAGGCAAGGCAAGGCAAGGTGCGATGGTCTAACGACTGTAAAATAAGCATTTTACTTTAGATGCTCAATCTAAACCTCCTACATCATTGAAAAAACTATCCAGGCATATTTTTTAAACTGATCGTATGTTGTGTATGTAAAATGGATCTGGTATCTTATACGTGTAGTGGAGTAAAAGGTATAATAAGAATAATTAAATTACAAAATAACTGATAATTGTACTTAAATACAGTAATTAAGTTCGTGAACCATAATACCGTTTACCACTGACATTTGATTAAATAAATAAAATGAATTTTCCAACAATGTATGGATCTATATATTGCGGTTCTATGTCAGGCTTGCGAAATCACGCCCAACAGCGCCACTAGCGTCACTAACATGTACATATTTCACAACATAAAGTGAATTGCAACAGACGCTTCTAATTGACTCTAATTAGCAGGCATTACAGTATGATAAAGTGGCTGTACTACATTTAATTTCACTTCGGATGATGACAAAGGCAGAATTAATTAAAACTTGCAAAGACGCAGGAACAGCAACACAGACAACATGACCAGGTAAGATACAGCTCACAGTGCGGGACAAATCTTAGATAAACCAGATTTCAGAGAGAAACCGAAAACAAAAAGAACAAGGAGACATGTTTTCTTACCTCTGGACAGGTGTTCAGTAAACGGAAAGCCCACCTCCACTGGAAGAGAGACGGACAGGACGGAGAGAGCATGCCGCCTGTCACCCTCTTCCTCCGGGCTGTCAGTCAGTCAGGAGCACCGGGCTGCCACCGGGTGTGTGTGAGTGTGTGTGTGAGAGACTGTGTGAGAAAGAAAAGAGAGAGAGAGACAGATAGAGATTAGACTACAGTTAACAGCCATTCATTTCCTCTCAACATTTGAAATAGCTTAATACCATATACAAAAACAAGTTAAATTATAGGGCTGCTGGTGAAATGTGAAGTAGGCCTATTATAAAAATGGATTGAGAGTATTTAAGGTTAAAATAATCAGTATACATAAAAAAACAAAACTCAGAGTAATATGTTATGATAGAATATTATATTATTCCGTTTTATCACAAACAATACATGAAAGCACTACCACAATTATCTGATCATTTAATCAATGCAGACATAAGTCATTTTGGAGTTTGCATCAACATGTTATTAGTGTCTGGATCTTTTGACTATACATTTAACATATGATTTTGATTTGAATGTAAATTAGGAATTAAACAAATGTGAATTTCACTACAATCGGTCTCTCTGCACAGTGTAAGGCGTATTGGCTGTGGGATTATAACACCATATAAATCATGGAGTTTTAACATATTACCTACCATGCCTCCTGTAGTCACTCAGTCAGCTGTCCCATGAGGAGGAGGCGGGTCAGGGGGCTCAGGTGAGGTCCAGACCCCTGTCTTCCCCTCCGTCCACTCCGTAATGGACATTTCCTCCATGATAATATGAACCTGGAGAACAGAAAAACAGCCAAATCTCATTTAAAACTAATTTTTGTAACAGTTCTATTGCATTACAAATCATAAAACACCATATGCACAATTACAGAACAACAGGATATTCATAATGTGAATAAGAATAGATATTTTGAGTGATTTTGGATTTTTTTAAAACCAAGTGAAGCTTAAGATTTTAGTTTTATAGGCTAATTTTGGCATAATCAATGCACATTTTTTTGACTAATTTAACTATAGTTTGCTCTTTTCCATATTATAGTATTATAATATTACAGTTTTGTAAATACTTCCTTAAAGCACCAGAAATCGTCCTAAAATATGATCACATATTGATGATTTCTCACAGAGATATTGAAGATTTTCCACTGGAAATGTTTGAACTTTGGCAGTTTTCCCCACTTCTACGTGTCATATACTTCTCAAACATTCAATCATTCAGACATTGTTAAGAAGAGAGAAGCCTTCATGCAGTCTGCAGTAATGAAGACAGGCAGAGTTGTTTCGCAGTGATGCTCTGAGAATATAATGATGAAATGTTTCGCAGTATGTTTGATTGGCACACTTTACATGACGCTAAGCTAAACATGCATTATGGAAATGTATTCATAGCACTTTGGCTTATATGCTCAACAGTAAACACACACACACACACACACACACACACACACACACACACACACACACACACACACACACACACACACACACACACACACACACACACACACACACACACACACACACACACACACACACACACACACACACACACACACACACACACAGGATGGTGTTGTTATGGTTGCTGCAGAGCCCCCAGAGACAATGAGGAGAGACACAGAGAGAATACTGAGGAAGATGAACTTGACCTTTATGATGTCTTGGTGAGGAAGGGTTGGGGGCATGTTGGTACTTATGAATCTATAATGAACCTCGGCTATATGGGTGTGTGTTTGTGTGTGTGTGTGTGTGTAGCAAAGGTCTGAGCTCTGAGCTGAAGAAAGGTCATCACACAGGGGGGGCACTAACACACCTGCATGCTCCTTCTTTCTCGTTCTGTATCCGTCAATGTACACATACTATTCTATATAAACTATACTATTGACTTCGGTAACTATGAGTTACAAATACTCTCACTTGCTTTAAAGGGGCCCTATTGTGATCATTTTCAGGTTCATATTAGTATGTTGTGTCTCTACTGTGACATGTTTTGTATGCTTTAATGTTCAAAAAGCTCTTTATTTTTCTCATACTGCCTGTGCTGCAGCACCTCTTGTCACCCTCTGCTCTGATTGGTTAGCTGGTCAACCGCTTAGAGATGTCCCGCCCCTTAGCCGATCACTTTTAATGTGTTGGAGCCATAGACTGTATATATAAGCGAGCGCTAGCCAATAGAAGCGCCAGTGTTACATTGTAATGTCATTATGTTTAAGGGAAACAAAGGAGTCCAATGGAACCTTTGGGAATTGTATCTTTGCAGACAAATTAATAACCTATATAAAACACTACTATTTTATGTAATATATGATTAATTTGGGTTTCTATACCTTATTTTAATGTTCTTTTAATGTCTATATTCCTTATTTGTAAAACCTGTTGTGCTGCACATGTGCTTTGTGGTGCTATACGAATAAAATGTATTTTTATTTGTATTAACAATTCAGAGTAGAAAAT